TTTTGAACTACAACTCCCATCATTCCCAGCCAGCACAGGAAATCAGATCAGGAGATAAGGTTGCAGGGTCTTGCAGGCAAAAGCTGCTCTATAACCCCTCTGCAGTGCCACAAAGCCAACTCAATGGTGTAATGTTGGAAAATGTCAATCATTTCTCCTACCTAGGCAGTTATCTTTCTGATGCCAAAATCCAGCATCGCCTGAGCTTTGTGAGTGCAGCTTTCTCCCAATTGAAGTGTAGCATGTTTGAGGACCGGGACATTCGCAGGGAAACCAAAATGCTTGTTTACGAAGCTATTGTACTACGAACCTTACTGTATGCTTGTGAAACATGGACCACTTATAAACGCCATCTCCAACTCCTCGAAAGATTCCATCAACGGTGTCTCCAAAAAACTGTACACATCACTTAGGAAGACAGGCGAACTAATATCAGTGTACTGGAAGAAGCAAAGATCTCCAGTGTTGAAGAAATGATTCTTCAACATCAACTTTGTTGGACTGGTCATGTTGTGCGGATGCCTGATGATCGTCTGCCAAAGCAACTACTCTATTCTGAACTTAAAAATAGAAAGCGTAATGCTGGTGGTCAACAAAAGAGGTTTAAAGACTGGTTCAAGGCAAATCTTAAAAAATGTTGTATAAACACTGATAACTGGGAAACACTGGCCTGTGAGTGCTCCAGTTGGATAACAGCCTTTACCAAAGGTGTCATGGGCTTTGAAGACACTCAAACTCAGGACGCAAGGGAGAAACGTGCTAAGAGGAAGGCACGCTTGGCAAATCCACAATGTGATCAACTCCCGCCTGGAAACCAATGTCCCCACTGTGGAAGGATGTGTGGATCCAGAATTGGCCTCCACAGTGACTTAGGGTCTCATTGTTAAAACCGTGTTTATGGAAGACAATCTTACTCAGCTATGAGTGATCGCCAAAGATACTATATTGGTTTAAAACAGGCTCAAAGCTGAGTAATCAACACAACTCCCAATCCAGGAGCTCTGGGTGCTGTATTTCTGCAACGATCTAAGGATCTTTGGACAGAATTCACAGCTTATTGGTTTAACCATCAATCCCCTTCCCAGGGAACTCTGGGAATTATAACTCACTTAGGGGAAATAGGGCATAGGGTTGCCATATTTTGAAGAGCAAAAAAGAGGACACATTTGCCAACTTCTACTTTTAACTATGGATCGCTATGATGACTCTCATTTTACATACCCCTGAAAAAGAGGATGTGTCCTGGAAAAAGAGGACATATGGCAATCCTAAATAAAGGCCCCATCACAACTCTCAGCACCCTAAACAAACTACTGCTCCTATAATTTTGGGGGAGAAACCATGACAGTTCAAAGTAGCATCATAGCGCTTTAAATGTATGGTGTGGGCTTTGCAATTTTGTGGGTACAGAAGAATCAGGCACACAAAGGCTTGATCAGGTGCTGTGTGCTCTCATGAGAAAAGGCATCAAGTCACGACTATGTTGCCATGTGTTTGTTCTCTAGGAAGGCCACAAAAATGAACCAGATAGCAGATAAGAGCATTTTAATATATGATGCCTAAGTGTTTTTAGGGTTGATAGCAAGCTCTGTGATATGGCAAGCCCAGATATGGGCTTTTCCCTGGAATAATCTGCACCATTTTGCTGCCTAGCTAAAATGGGCAGAATATCAAATGGCTATGCCAAAGGTTCAGTCCTTCTGCATAACCCACCCACTTCGTTCAAACCATGCTTGGGAAGGACAGCTGTGGACCCCGCTATATACCTGATGATGCAATTAGGTACACACCCCTTGCACCCCTAGCTCTGCAAGCTTCTTCTGCTTACCCCAGAGACAGGGATGTGGCTGAAAGGATCCAACTTACTCTGGGCGCAGAGGGTATTCACACAACCACTTGATCAGGCATTAGTCCGATGTAGATAGTGTCTCAGACTCACAAGGCGATTGTCCCAAGCCAGATCTACAGCCTCGTGCATTAAGCACAAGGACAAGCATGGGTGGCTGGAGAACATAATAACTTAATCTGCAGAAGCAAAAGTTCAACCCCATTCTCATCACAGTTGCCGGTCTTCTCTGCCTTTCCCCTCAAACCTCTTCCTACTTCACTTACTTTTTCTATGTATTACTGCTCCCTGTTCCATCACACACTTCCTTCAACCACAGGAAGGAACAGGGGAAGCTGCCTCCTACTGAGACAGACAATTGGTCTAAGCTCAGTACTGTCTACACTGACTGGCAGTGGCTTTCCAGGTTTTCCCAGCCCTACCTGGAGATGCTGGGGAAGGAACCTAGGGCCACCTGAATGCAAAGCAGATGCTATATGGACCTTTCCCTGGAACCTTAGAGAGTTTCTCACACACAGGCTAAAACCATAAAGTTATTCTGCAAGTTTGTGGCAGAGATGACCTCTGAAACTATCTTGTCCCTGGGCTGCTTACCCTTTAGTTTCCCCACCTCCTGAGTTTCCTTCCAAAGCTTCCAGTCCTTAATACTGTCCCTTTCAGTCCATGGGAAGTTTCAGCCCCAGTCAAACTGCCAATGTTCCCTGCTTTCAGCAAAACTGGACAGCAGCTAATCCGTTTCAGAAGCTCCACTGTCACAAATACAATGCTACATAGATATCCCCTTGAGAGGAAGCCAGAGATGCTATCTGGAAGAGGGGAAGGGATGTAGGGAGGAAAGTTACTTTGATGAGCAGCCAACTTAACCCTTGCTTTCCAGGCCAAGAGCCAAAGGGATTCTTATTGCAAAGATGTCTATAACATATGCCTGATGTCTCTGAAGGCTTACTAACTTTGCAATAATGGTTGCAAAACTTGGCTTCTCTGCTGGGTATTTAAGATGACAAAGAGGAGTGGGGGGGGGGGAGAGAGAGAGAATAAAATGTAGAACAAGCAGCAGTGGAAAGGTTTGTTTCCTATAAGATAACTTGAGGTAGTCAAGTAGCACCCAGAGGAGAGTGCAAGTCTGGGAGTAAAGGAAGGCCTGGGCACTAAAGCAAGGTCAGTAAATGGTTTGGGTCATGTCTGGAAATCCATAGGGGAAGAAGAAGTAGTAGACAGTACTATTAGTACAAGAGAGGATATCTTCCAACACTTTGAAGACAAAATCTGGGGTGCCATCTTCCCCATATGCCCTCTTCCCATTTTTTATCCCAAAACCTGGTGGTTGTGATTGCCTTGCCCCAGATCAGATCCAGGAGCAGAGCTGGTGATAGTGTCCTAGTCTGGAGGAGAAAGCAGCTGTTGCCCTCCAGTGCTGCATTTAGAACCCTCACAGGAGAGAACTTCGTGGAGTCGTCTTCGAAACTAGCTGGAGGGTAACAGGTGAGAGAAGGCTTGGCTGCAATTCCTGGCAGCGGTTCTCTAGGGATTCGAGACAGGAGTGTTTCCAAACTGTGCCTGAAGATGCCAGAGATTGAATTATGGATCTTCTGCATGGAGAGCACATCCTCACAGGATGAGCCAGGCATGATCTAGCAGCCTTCCCCAACCTGGTGCCCTCCAGCAGTTCCTCAGGTATCCTGGGTCTGAGCCGTTAAGGGTCCTCCTAAAAGGTAAAGGTAAAGGTACCCCTGCCCATACGGGCCAGTCTTGACAGACTCTAGGGTTGTGCGCCCATCTCACTCAAGAGGCCGGGGGCCAGCGCTGTCCAGAGACACTTCCGGGTCACGTGGCCAGCATGACAAGCTGCATCTGGCGAGCCAGAGCCGCACACGGAAACGCCGTTTACCTTCCCGCTAGTAAGCGGTCCCTATTTATCTACTTGCACCTGGGAGTGCTTTCGAACTGCTAGGTTGCCAGGCGCTGGGACCGAGCAACGGGAGCGCACCCTGCCGCGGGGATTCGAACTGCCGACCTTTCGATCGGCAAGCCCTAGGCGCTGAGGCTTTTACCCACAGCGCCACCCGTGTCCCTAAGGGTCCTCCTACCTGTCCGTAATTTGAGGACTGAGTCAACCTCTGTGGGCATAGCATGGTTTCTGAAGAGTTGTTCCCAGAAGCAAGCTGGCAGCCAGAGAATTGGGTGGCTCTTCCTGTCATTAGCTCTGGTGCCACCTACTGCTGGACTCCCTGCCTTCTGCCCTACGAGTTCAAATGGGCACCAGTCACCCCTGAAAGCAGGATGGAAATAAATATTGTACATAGACAAGCGAACTTTGAGCAGCTTACTCTTGCAGACTCCTCCAAGTCCCCAGCCTCAGAGTGTTTCTTGGTCAAAGAAGTGTTTCCCAAAAGGCTCTGCTTTGACCTCTTTCCAGTTGAAACAATCATTCTGGCAAGGTAACTGGAGGCAAAAGGAGGATGGCAGGGCTGCAGGGCTTTTATTAGCTGGGCAAAGGAGAGAATTTTCTGCAGGTACAGCTTCTCTCTCATGTGACAAACCACACACTTGCTGACATTCCTTCTCGTCTACCATTAAAAATGACAACACCCAATCCGCTTGTCCTCTGAGACAGGCTTTTGTATGTAAAATAAATAACTGTAAAAAGGAATCCATCCACGGTACTTTATCTCCCCTCACCCTTTCCTGGTCCTGTACTGTACTTTCAACAGCTAGCTAACATGCGGAGGTGAATATCACGGCATGGCCATAGGGGTTGCCAACTTTTTTAAGCCGCTCCTGTGGCAATGCCTTTAAACAGCAGTCAGCCCAATGCACAGAAACACAGAAGGGAAAACCCCTTTTTTTTCCAGGCACCTGGTCTCCAAGCCAAGTAAAACGTCTCCTGCCGAACTTCTGCAGGTCAACCTGCTAGGAGAGCCCGAGATGGCTGCGCGGCTCAACCCGCCTCTGACCCAAGCGCACCTGAACCCACCAGGTTGCAAAACCAACCAACCGGCATCCGCCTCTGTGGCGCCACCTGGCGGCGGCGCTTCCCTTCGCCCGCAACCCACGTGTACCGCTTCTCCTTTTACAACCTCGCTATTTACCCGAGTGTGTTAATTCCGACGACCAATCAGTGGGCAGGAGGTGTAGCTCCGGGAGGTTAAGCTCCAATCAGCACCTGCGAGTGGAGAAGGGAGGAGATGCTCTCTCCCTCTCTCTCCCCCGCTTCTCCCTCCCCCCTTTCCTCCCTTTCTGTAAACCACGTTGAGTTTGTAGCGCTAATTAATTTTTCCAAAGTCTGGGAGGGCTTCGCTGCAAGTCGGGATTCCGCTGCTGCTGCCGCCGCTGCCGCCATCAACGGCCCTTCTTCGCCTTCCTCCTCCTCCTCCTCTTCTCCCTGCACCGCAGAGCCCAGTTGCGGAGGCCCCTCGGCTGCAATAAAATGTTTGACGGCTCCTTCCTGTCTCTTATATCTCCCCTTCTGTTGCGGCTGCTACTGGTGCTCTGCGGACCGGGCACCCATACAGGTAGGGGTGGCTCTGCGGATTTTCTCCCCACTTCAATCTTCTGCCTTCTGTGTCGTCTCCCTGGATTTGACATTTTGGAAGCGGGCGCGGGGAAGGGAATTTTTTTTTTGGGGGGGGGTGGCGGACTGGACTTCAAATTGCATGCATTTTCAAAACGCACACCAACCCCTCGAGATACAATCATTTTGGGGAAGCCCCATATTTGTTGCATCTCTCCCCCGCCCCCTTAACAAGATGCAAAAGTTTGCAGAGACAAATGGCATGTTCGTTTCCTTCTCTCTCTTTTCCACCCTCCCTTCCGTTATATGGCTCTGATCCCAGTTTTCCTTATCCAAAAGGATGTATCTGTTTCCAGACTTGTATATTCTTTATTCCTGGCTGGTCTTCTTGCAAACCTCAACCCCCCCCACCCCCTTCTCTCTCTCTCTCCCCTCTCCCCTCTCTCTTCTTTTTTAATAGGTTTGGTGAAATGTGAGTACCCCCTCCATACTCTCCCTCCTTCCCTCTCCTTGTGTGTGTGTGTGTAATATCTAAAATACTTTTCTTGAACGATGCAAGAAAACTCTGGCGTTGTTCGGTTCTTTATCTCCCTCCCCCACTTTTCCCTTTATGCTGCACAACTAAAAGAAAAGTTGTAGCTACTGGCGGCAAATAAAATTAAAAAGAACCATCACCTCTCTCTCTCCTCTTCTCTTCTCTGCCTGCAGCTGGCTCAGAACTTCCAGGGCATTTGATCTGGGAATATATCTCGTTTATTTATTAAACTGCTAAATGGGCAGTGCATGGGATGTAGGGAGAGGATATGTGACAAGTTTAAATGAAAGGTGATGTGTCAATGGCTACTGACCCTGATGGCCGGAGGCATTATGCTTCTGAATCCCAGTTGCTGGAAACCGCAGGAGGGTAAAGAGCTGTTGTATTCGGGTCCTGCTGCATGTGCGCCTCTTATAAGCATCTGGCTTGCCACTGGGATAATGGGATGCTTGGCAAGGCGAGCCACTGCCCTCATCCAGCAGCAGACTCGTCTTCCATCCTTACGATAGGTAGAACTATAGAATCGTAGCGTTGGAAGCTTCCCTGAGGATCGTCTTCTAATCCAATCCCCTGCAATGCAGGAATATGCAGTTGTCCCATACAGGGATCGAACCTGCAACCTTGGCGTTATCAGCACCACGTTGTAACCAAGTGAGCTATCCAAGCTTCCCTAGTAAACGGAGCTTCAAAGGCAGTCTAAATTCTGAGTGTCAAGATGCTGGGGGCAAATAAAGAAGGGAAGGCTGGCAGATCCATGTAGGATAAGTCTACCTGTGACTGCTAGTCATGTGATGAGTGCTCTAGTATGTATGTCTCTTGATGCTGGTGCTGAGAATCACAAGGTTGGGGGCTGGGAGTTGTTGCACTCTGGTCCTCCTTGCAGACTTTCTATAGGCACGTGGGTGACTACGGTGAGAACAGGATGCTGGGGTAGGTGGGACTTTGGCCTGATCCAGCCTGGGCTCTGTTTATGCTCTGAGAGGCTACCAAAAGTCCCATGGGAAAGACCTAGTGCAATTGTTCCATTGGTCCATCTAGCTCACAGGATTGCATCAATACTGGTTGCTGGGATTTGCAAACAGGGAGAGTGTTGCCGCTCTCAGGTCTCGCTTTTGAGCATCCCATAGGCATCCAGTTGGCCACTGTGAGAACAAGATGTTGGGCTAGGTAAGAGTTTGCCAGACTTATGGTCTAACTACAGCTAGAGGCCCAACTCCCATCATCCGTAGCTAGTAGGACCAGTGGTCAGGGATGATGGGAATCGTAGTTCAAAACCAGCTGGAGACCCAAGTTTGGGAAACCCTTGGCTAGATAGACCTTTGGCATGACCCAGCAGGGCTCTTGTGTTTCAGCATCATGAGTATGTAACAGAATGCTGGGGAGACAATCCTTAGCCTGACCCAGAAGTGCAGCAGAATGTGTATGAACCAAGGGAATTTAGGTAGCTCAGTTGGATAGAGCATGGTGCCGATAACACCAAGGTTGCAGGTTCGATGCTGCTATGGGACAGCTGCGTATGCCTGCATTGCAGGGGCTTGGACTAGATGATCCTCATGGTCCCTTCTAACTCTATCATTCTTTAAATGCTAACAGGAGACATAAGATTCCCCACCCTATCCTATGCTAGAGAAGAGTCCATAGGTCAGTGCTAGAGCAGTTGCTGTGCATACATAAGGCCCCAGGTTCCATACTTGGCATCTTCATGTAGGGTTGGGAACATGTATACTCAGGTGGCGCAATGGGTCAGTGTGTCTGGCTGTTAACCGGAAGGTTGGTGGTTCGAGCCCACCCAAGGCAGGATTCCTGTCTTGCAGGTGTTTGGGCTACATGACCCTTGAGGTCCCTTCCAACTCTACAATTTTATCGTTCTATGATTCTATCCCTTTCTTGGAACCCTTCGGAGCTACCTCAGGTCAGTGTAGACAATATCAAGCCATGTCACCTTTCTATGTTCTTTAGAGAAGCAGTGTGGTGCAATGGTCAGTTGAATTAGGGCCTCAAGACCACAGTTCAAACCCTACTCCGTCCTGGGTGACCCTGGGCCAGTCATGGTCTTCCAGGGTTGTTCTGTGGATTACATGGGGAGAACAATGTATGCCACTTAGAGCTCCTTGGAGAAAAAGATGGGATATAAATGTAATAAATAAATTGCACACAGAAGGTCCCAGGTTCAATCCTTCTCATCTTCCATTGAAAGAAAAGAGGTTCAGAGAAATATTTGCCCAAGACCCTGGAGAGGCCCAGCAAGTCAGAGCAGAACTGAAATGGATGGGCAGATAGTATGGCAGCTTCCTTTGTTCATTCCTATGTGCCTTTGAGCATATACAGAGTGCTTTCCGTTGCTATTAATAGTTGCCAGAGTAACCACAGTTGACCTTCTCCTCCTCCTCCCCCACACTGACAAAGCATCATCAAAAGATGGACAAATATAAAAAAGGATCAGTTTTAAAAAGTAGTAAAGTTAGAGGTAAAGGACCTGTAACCGTTAAGTCCAGTCACGAACGACTGGGGTTGTGGCGCTCATCTCGCTTTACTGGCCAAGGGAGCTGGCGTTTGTCCGCAGACAGTTTCTCTGGGTCATGTGGCCAGCATGACTAAACTGCTTCTGGTGAAACCAGAGCAGCACATGGAAATGCCGTTTACCTTCCAGTCAGAGCGGTACCTATTTACCTACAGTGTTAAGAACTTAATTCGTTCTGGAGGTCTGTTCTTCACCTGAAACTGTTCTTAACCTGAAGCACCACTTTAGCTAATGCCTCCTGAAGCAAAGTTCTTAACCCGAGGTAATATTTCTGGGTTAGCGGAGTCTGTAACCTGAAGCGTATGTAACCCGAGGTACCACTGTACTTGCACTTTGACGTGCTTTCGAACTGCTAGGTTGGCAGGAGCTGGGACCGAGCAACAGGAGCTCACCCCGTCTCAGGGATTCAAACCACCGACCTTCTGATCGGCAAGCCCTAGGCTCAGTGGTTTAGACCACAGCGCCACCCACATCCTTTAAAAAGTAGTAGTACTGGGCAAATAAGAATGATAATAAATGTCCAGCATTTTCAACTTATGACCAGAGAACTCTGCCTTCTCAGTCACAATGTACCAAAGGAGGTTGCATGTTGTTGGAGAGGGGATTCACTCTGCATATGTACAGAGGTGCCCTCTTCTTACAGATTCCAGTGTAAGACTGGCTGGTTCTAGCATTGCGAATAAGGTTCTAAAAATAGGCTTGGCTCTGGTGAGGTTGTGGTTTTAATTTAGACAGGGGTGGGAAACATCTGGCCTGCAGCCCAGCCTCACCATTTGACCCATGCAGATGCTCAAGCCACCAACCTGACTTCGGAGATTTCTTGGGGTTGCAGCCCCAAGCAGGTATCTCCTTGCGTTCTTACGACTAACAGTGAATACAGTGGTACCTCGGGTTACAGACGCTTCAGGTTACAGACTCCGCTAACCCAGAAATAGTACCTCGGGTTAAGAACTTTGCTTCAGGATGAGAACAGAAATCGCAGGGCAGTGGTGCAGCAGCAGCAGGAGGCCCCATTAGCTAAAGTGGTGCTTCAGGTTAAGAACAGACCTCTAGAATGAATTAAGTTCTTAACCCGAGGTATAACCTTCTACCGGGAGTTGGGTTCTTTGGCCTGTATTGCTGATGGCTGCTAATGCTCTCCCACCCTCCTTTCTTCTCTCCCTCTGTGTCTCTTTTTGCAGTCAATGCAGACCTGGATGTGGTGATCATCCCGGAACAGGTGCCCCTTGACAAGATCCCTTCCCTGCAGGTCAGAGGGATCCACTCTGAGGAGCATAGGAGGCGACGCTCTGTGCCTCTGCAGCCTGAAGAAGAGGCCGAGGTGCTGATCGTCCGGCTTCCTGCCGGGCTGGGCTCCGATCCAGGCTCTGACATCTACTTGAACCTTCGCCGAAATGGGCAGTTTTTGGCACCGGGTTTCTCCGTGGAGGAAATTGGCGTGGGCCGAAGCAGCCACCGTGTGGACTTGGACCGCCTCTGCTTCTACACAGGGCACGTGCTCAACCGCAGCGCAGACTCCTTCGCTTCCCTCAGTGCCTGCGGCGGGCTGGTACTTGTCTCTGGGCGAATTTGCCCTCGATGGGCGCAGTCTGGTGTTGCGGGAGGCCGTTGTTTGGGGAAGAAAAGCCTGTGGAAGAGTGTGTTGGGTGGGGCATGGAGTTAAGGGAGTCGAGAGACAGGAATGTGTGAAGGCGGGTGGGTCCCCTGTGCCTAGAAAGTGGGGAGTCCGGTCAGGCTAGGGAACAGCGTTGCAAACCTGTGTCCATTCCCTTACGATTTTCAGTTAGTTACAGGATATGCTGTCAGTTTCGTACTGACAAGTGGAAGAAAATTGTAGCAGTCTGGCCTGCTACTGATATCAGAACTACAGCCAGCCAGCCATTCCCTTTTCTTAGGTACTCCATTCCATTTAGCCATCATGTTTTCCATTTCCCCACTCCAACCTTCAGGCAGCATTTTGTGGCTGCTGCGTAGGCTCAGTCCTCTTTGGACAGTGCCTGGAGTGCATGCCCTGGAACAGGAGGTGCTCTTAATGTTTTACCCCTGGGGCCTGCTTAAGAGGGCTGACAATTGCTGAGGCCTACCAGTCTCAAAATGGTGGAGGCGGGAGGTAGCGTCTGGCTTAATTAGGTGGCTGTTACTGACATGGTTTTCTATTGATCCCTAATCAGCCTTTGGTCATTGCTAAATCCTTTGCCACAGTGTTTTTCATGTGGCAAGGAGTTCTGTAGTCTATCTTGCCTGTATTTCAAAACAAATGTTGCTCATCTTGGGGATATTGTAAGATGAGTTTGCTGATCTAGAGGCTCAAAGTAAAACACACTTACATTCACTTCCTTTTGCTGCAGTTACTCTCTCTTACCCTGTTCCTTTCTATTCTCAGATTATTATCATTATTATTACCTCTACTACTACTCCTACTACTACTACTACAGTGGTGCCCCGCAAGACGAATGCCTCGCAAGATGAAAAACTCGCTAGACGAAAGGGTTTTCCGTTTTTTGAGTCGTTCCGCAAGACAAATTTCCCTATGGGCTTGCTTTGCAAGACGAAACGTCTTGCGAGTTCTTGCGAGTTTGTTTCCTTTTTCTTAAAGCCGCTAAGCCGCTAATAGCCGTGCTTCGCAAGACGAAAAAACCGCAAGACGAAGAGACTCGCGGAACGGATTAATTTCGTCTTGCGAGGCACCACTGTACTACTGTTATTTATTTTCAATAACTTTTGCTGTCTCTAATTTCCTTCAACACCTCCTCAGGTCTCTTCCCCTTTGAGAAGGGAGGCCTCCCCCCCTTCTCCCCAAATTTCTCTGACCCTCAGCTATCTTGACTCACCATATGAGGAGTGCTGACATTAATGCAACCATTAGCCCCACACAGCCAGGAGACTAGATGGGTCACGGCACCATGGCTCACTAGTCGTCTCTGGCCCAGCGTTTGGGAAACTCTATGCTAAACTATTCCTCCGACGCTCCTTCGCGTTGCTGGCAAAGAGGGCAGACCAGCTTCTGCTTAAAGATCTGCCCTTATGGATCGCATTGCAGAGGGAATCCTGGCTTTGTTTCTGAGGAACGGCAGGGTGCTCCGGGAGCACACCTTGTAAACCAGTAGGGGGCAGCATTCTAAAATTGCAGGCTTAAAAAAAAAAGAATCTCCAGTCTGCAGGAGCTCTGGCCCCTTTTGCTTCTTGTCACCCTGCTTAGCTCTTAGTGATGAACGAGCATTGATAGCTCAGTTGGTTAAAGCGTAGTGCTGACAATGCCAAGGTTGCAGGTTCAATCCCCGTATGGGACAGCTGCATGGCAAGGGGGTTGGACTAGATGATCCTTCTAACTCTATGATTCTGTTTTGGGACTGGATCCCTCTATGGGACAACTGCGTAGGAGGTTGGACTTCCAGGATCCCTCCCAACTCTATGATTCTATGGGGCTCAGTTTGGCCTCCCAGTCTTCCAGTCGGTCTAGTCCAGCGGTTCTCAACCTGTGGGTCCCCAGATGTTGTTGGACTACAACTCCCATCATCCCTGAGCTCTAGCCTTGCTAGCTAGGGGTGATGGGAGTTGTAGTTCAACAACATCTGGGGACCCACAGGTTGAGAAAGGCTGGTCTAGTCGCATTGTGGGTCTCGCCTGTTAACTTTCTGCGATGTTTCTGTGGCTCTGTAGGAATGCCGATGAGGCTGGAATTCTTCACAGCCTGTCCACCCCGCCCCTTCCCTCCCGCCTCCCCACCTAATGGAGGCGTTGCCCCTCAGGGCAGGAGTGGGCGGAGCAGGGGGGGTGCTTAGTTTGGGCAGCTGTGCTGTAGACAGTCCTTAAGGAAGGAGGGGCAAGCCCTGTGCCTCAGGTGAGCACCTGCATCCAGATAATGGGATACCAGCGTCTTTTGTGATTGATGTTGGAAGCTGGAGCTGAGCACCACCAATCTTGGAGCTTGAAAATGAGAATGCTGCTTCCCCCCCCCCCCATGAAACGCTGACAGGGTTCTCCACCCACCTGTCCCTTGCTGCAAAGCACACTTTGTTAATCTCATTCATAAATTACCAAGCTCTTAAGGCTCTGAAGCCATCTGAAAAGTGTACAAATGGAACAGGGGGGAAAAGCCACGTAAAAATATAAACTAAATGGGAATTCATTTGTAGTGGCAACTTTTATTGCTTGAGAAGTGATGGTGGTAGAAAGGGAAATTAATAACACTCTGCTGGCAGTTGGGGAATATGTCCCGACCTCACTTACTTGGAAGTAAGCTCCTTGAATCCAGTGGGACTGACTTCTGAGTAGACATGGTCCACATCCACACCAGGCATTCAAAATGCTATGATACCACTTTAAACAGTCATGTCCCCCCCCCCCAACGAATTCTGGGCACTGTAGTTTAAGGGCGCTGAGACCCGTTTGCCCCCTAGTGCTACAATTCCCAGAGTGGTTTAACAATCAGTCCTGCTTCTCAGGGAACCCTGGAAATTGTAGCTCCCATGTTTCCTTGGGGGAAGCTATGACTGCTTAAAGCGGTAACACACCTCTTTAAATGTATCCTGCGAATGGGACTGTGGTTAGGTTGACAGACTCTGAATTGTGGAGGGAATTTAGGAAGCTCCTGAAATCTACAATCCGGACGCCCTAACACCCTTGCCCCCATTTTACCTTGTAATTAAAATTGGCAAACTAAGGGTGTTGCCACACAAAGTTAAGAGATGCAGTTCCCTTTTGTATCCCTTATAACATGGGCAGCACAAAAAAGGGTACACAGCTGAAATTGGAAGAATCTCTATACCGATTTGAGTTAGGACCAAACCACTACCACCGACAACCTTCTTCCCTTGCAAGGAGATCAATAACTTTTTTGCCTAGGAGTTGAGATTCTTCTGGATCCTGACATTTCTCCAGATAATCAATCAAATCTTAAAACAGGTATACTGTTCCACTTGTCTGGGAAGCTTCCGCAGCCAGTTCCCTCTAAGGTAGTGGGGACCCTCGCGGGGTGTCAAATCAAGACTCTTGCTTTGGCAGGAGGGATTAACTGACCAAACAAAAGTGCATTGCAGCTTGGGGGGGGGGGTCACAGCTAGTTAAAGAGAGATAAGGGTGGGCCATAACATGGGTGGGTCTGGGATAACCTCTTGAGTAAACAAAACAGTGCAGACACCAGACTGCCCTCATCAACCAGGCGCAGAAAGACATAGTGGAGAGACCACTAGGGGAGTCATATCACAACTACTGTTTTAGGAGGTGATAGCAAGAGCTAAGGGGAGTGTTAGAAGAAGGTAGGGGGCTGCCTCTCCCCCATGCAATCCAAGCACTGGGTGGGATACAGAGTGGGAAGCAGCTGTTGAGCAGTCCTTTGTACATTTCGCTTTGAGATAGTTCTCCTTTTGAACTATTTCCCAACAGCATCTGAAACATATGCAGCTGCTTTACACGGAGTCAGATCAGTGTTGTTAACTCTGAGTGACAGTCTCCTTCCGGGGCCTCAAGCAGAGGTCTTCCCCAAGCCTGCTGGCTGAGATCACGTCAGCTGGAGATGCCAGGAACAAGTATATAATCAAAGCACTTGTTCTACCACTGGAAACCCCTGTGAGCAATGGCCTACCAAGGCACTTTCCATTTTGGAAAGTTGGGCAGAGCATGGTATTGTCCCGATTCCTGCCGTGACAGCGATGCTCACTGTGTACCATGATCCGAAGCTGAAATAGCTCTGCGGTGATGATGAGCAGGTTGCTTGCAAGCCCTCTGTCTCCTAAAAGCCAGGCAGCATAGCTTTAACTGGAATTCCATCTGTGGAAGAACAAAACCAAGGGTTGTTCGCGAACAGCAGTTGCGTCCATGACATCTGTGTGCCATGCGTAAGTAAAATAACATGGGCTCAGCAGTAAACTAACCACAACAGATAGGAACATGGACCCTCTCCTATTGTTGGTCCTCTTCCAGCCCTGCTAACTGCATCATTGTTGGCAGAGAACACATTGCGGCAAAAACTACATATCCTGAAAAGCACTACCAAACACATGGGATGGAGGCGCAGAGAACATGATCCTCTAACTATGCCCAGCTGCTGATGCTGGGAAGACCTATCCAGATGTTCAGTGGGGAGCAGTAACTATGGTTGCCTTGATGATGTGGACAGGAGGGGGAGCAGGGAGCTGTGAGGCACTGAGAGAAGAGGATGCTTGACTAGATAGGCTGTTGGCCTGATCCTGCAGGCTTTTGTGTTCTGATGTTCCTGTTGGTGCCAATGGGAGGTTGTTTCTTAATGCTAATTGCCACCACCTCTCTATGCAATTTGTTCCAAAGCTAAACCGTTCTTACTGCCAGGAAACTTCTTCTTGTGTTCCACCTCTAACTTACGTCCGGGAGATCCAGTCCTGTCCTATGGGGCAGCAGAGAACTAATTTTTGCCCTGTTTTGTGTGAGAGTCCTTCAGGTATTAGAAGAGGGATATTACTTCCCACCTCTGTTTTCCCTGGGTGAACATACATAGTCCCTTCAACTTTTCCAAGTAGGCAGGGAAAGGCGCTTTGCTCTGGGAAACTGGGGCACTACTCTTTCTACAAGCAATGACAACTCTGTTTTCTGTCTGGTTGGAGCCTGTGTGTGTGTGTATGCATATGCATGTGTGCAAAAGAGAGGCAGGTGGTGGATGATGAATGCAGAGCAATCCTATGTAGGTCTACTTAGAAGTAGTTTCCGCTGAGTTCAGTGGGGCTTACTCCTAAATAAGCCCACATGGTATTGCAGCCTTGTATTTCAATTAGTATTTTCATTGCTGGATTTCTTTGAACATTGCAGATGGAAATAATTGATGTCCTTAATGCCGTTTGCAAAGGAGGAGAATGAGGGGAAAGCTATCATTAGTTGTCTCCTACCACTGTGATTCCCTTCTCCATCTATCCTTAGTTACCATTTCCTTGGCCCCACCTGCCTCAGCAGGCACCAATCGCTGCTGCTGCTATTTTGTGTTTCCTGTACCATGGACCATCTTCATTGACCTCCTCTGAACTTCTTCCAGTTTGTTAGTTCTAGTCTAGTCTCCTCCCTGATCTGCCAGGAATGCATTTGTACCAGAGGGAAACATAGTCCTTGTGAGCGGCCAACCAACAGTCTAGAAAAGCACAGCCCAATGCTGTTACCCATTCCTAGATATTTAATGGTGGCAGAGCTAAGAAGTCCACCTGTGCAACGATGCCCCATATTCCCATGCTATGAAAGGCCTCCCCGGTAAGTGTAATGTGATAGTCTTTTAACTAAGGATGTAAGAAAGCAGTGCTTTCCATTCTATGTTGTGCTGTTTCCATCCCAATGCAGTTTGTCTTCCACCAAAAGGTGCATTAGTTGTGTTGCTGTCTGCTGTGACAAATTTATAAAACGTACCGTATTTTTCGCTCTGTAAGATGCACTTTTTCTCTCCTGAAAAGTAAGGGGAAATATGTGTCCGTCTTATGGAGCGAATGCAGGCTGTGCAGCTATCCCAGAAGCCAGAACAGCAAGAGGGATTGCTACACAGCGATCCCTCTTGCTGTTCTGGTTTCTGTGATAGCCGTGCAAAGCCTCTTCAGGGCAGGGGGAGCTCTATAAGACACACTTTTCTCCTCCTAAAAAGTAAGGGGAAATATGTGTGCGTCATATGGAGCAAATGCAGGCTGTGCAGCTATCGCTGAAGCCAGAACAGCAAGAGGTATCGCTGTGCAGCTATCCCTCTTGCTGTTCTGGCTTCTGGGATTCAGAATATTTTTTTTCTTTGTTTCCTCCTCCAAAAACTAGGTGTGTCTTATGGTCTGGTGCATCTTATAGAGCGAAAAATACGGTATATAATTTACATAAACAATCACATTTCAGTGCAAAGGAAAAACGATGCAAGGGGGTGGGAATAAAATGTAAGCAATTACTTACTGTTTGCAGGCATAGACTGCAAGATGCAACATTTTATTCTATAATCTATAATGGAGACTGGGTCCATGTTTCCTCTATGTAGTCTACGCACGATCTTCTTGAGAAAACGGGTTTCATTCTGAAAATAACAGCTCACTGCAGATTGATTCTGCATAACCCCACATTGTACCCATTTGAAAACAGATGTAGGTGGTCCTGTTAATGGTGAGGTGTGTATTAACACCTGCTTGATGTGGTTGTGGGTGGGCGTATATCAAGATCACGATCACCGCTTCCTTCTTCATTCACCTGGGGCTAGCTCAGGAAGGAGAAGGCATGGATAACTAAATCAAGGGTTGTATCAGGCAACCACACCCACACTTGTAGACGGCAGGCTCTAGAATCAATGTAAGTTGAAAGCAGCATGGTGGAAGACGAGCATCAACAACTCTGGATTGAGAAAAATGACATTTCTGTGCAGATTCATTTCCGTTCTGGACACCGGACGAATAAGCGAACATTGGCAATTTCCTGTTTCTCTTTCTATTGGAATTCTCCGACATCCCTGCTTTTAACTCTTCCAGAAGGAATATTCTAGTTAAGTGATGCAAAATGCTATCAGTTGACATAAGCAGCTCCTCAAATGCACTGCAACGCACTTCAGGGCTGTTCAGCTCATTCTAGCTCACTGCGCAGGAGCCCACAGGGTGGTTCTCTTCTGAACGGACAGAACAGCCCTGAACAACATGTGATCCACCAACACTGGATAGCTCAGTTGGTTAGAGCATGGTGCTGATAATGCCAAGGTCGCAGGTTCAGTCCCCATATGGGACAGCTGAATATTCCTGGACTAGATGATCCTCAAGGTCCCTTCCGACCCTACAATTCTATGATTCTATGGCAACCTGAACGCAGCTCTGTAGGTGTGGATGGGCCTTGCCATATGCCCAGCTGCTCCCTTGGTTTTTGGATGCCCAATCAGGCATCAAGAATAGGAGGCTTACTGAGGCCTGGGTAGGGCTGCTGGGTCACAGCTGTGCGGGGCCTTTTCAAATGAGGTACCTGGCTGGATTTGTCTGATCTAAAGCAGGCCAAGATTTTTCATTCAGCCAGATCCTTCTAACGTTCAGTCAAAATGTTTCACTGACTGGGGTGGGGAGGTTGTGTGATCTCATAGTAAGTGGGGAAACATGAGGGCCCTTCTGGGGCTCATTTGAAGTTTGTTTGTTTTTTGTACCTGGTACCAGTTTGGTTTTCAAGGGAGGGGAAAATGAGCCTGTCTTAAGAACAGAAGATTAGCCCAATTGGCTTGGCCCAATGGCCCATCTAATCCAGCACCCTGTTTTCATGGTGCCCAACCAGATGGCCATGGGAAGCCCATAAGCAGGGCCTGAATACAACAGCCCTGCAACATAGAGGAGGATGCCAGGGCTCTTCTTAAATTGTTTGCCGGATTAGACAAAATAATGAAGGATAAGGCTATTGACAATTTCCCCAAATTGGGTCTCCGGCTGGTTTTGGACTACAACTCCCATCATTGCTAGGTAGCAGGACCAATGGTTAGGGATGATGGAATTGTAGTCCAAAACCATCTGGAGACCCAATTTGGGAAACCCTGCTCTAATCCCATAGGCATTTGGTTGGCGACTGTGAGAACAAGGGCGTTGGACTAGATGGACCTTTGGCTTAATCTAGCAGAGCTCTTGGTATGTTCTTGTTCATTTATTGTGATATAGTGATGCCCCAAATATTAGCTTTCCTCTTCAGCAACTTCCAAAGTAGAGAGCCCACACTGGAACTGTGCTTCAGTTATTAGTGTACCAAAAGCACCCTAGAATGTAAATCAAGAGAAGAGAAAGACCAAGCTGATTTATGAACTTTATCCTCACCAGTAAAATTCAGCAATCTTCTTCTTGCCTTGGCTGAATTCTCCTGAAAACGTTAAAAAGAAATGTGAGCAGTTCTCTTATTTTAGTTTGTAATCTTCCTATGAAGCTATATAGCTAAAGTATGTCAATGAGACTGCCCTGGTTTTAAGTGAAGACAAAGACTAGCGTGTTGTGTGTGTGTGGCCTGTGTAATTTATAACACATATGTAATGTAGATTGTAAATCACATTAATGCAGTCAGCTGTTCCACATCCCAGCAGTCATATGTACGTGCAGAGAACTTATTTGGGTGGCTGCCTAGCTGGTATAGAACTCTCTCTCAAAAACAACCCCTCCCCCTTGAAATATCTGGCCTTATTCTCAGTCTGTACCCATCTGGTGGGTCTTGCATACAGCTGTAACAGTAAAAAAAAGGAGATGAACATTTCCCTTTTAAAAGTTTGATGTATGCCTGAGCACGCAATGGTGGCCCGCTAAAATTTTGCTAGAGCTCTAAGTGTGATGTGGTGATAAGACTTAGCCCAGTGAGCTCATAAACATATAGTAGAAATGTTTAAACATCTTTTTTCTTTTTTTGCCTAATGGAGTGGATATCCCCCCCCACCCCGGCTGCCAAGTTATTGGATATTCTTAGTCAATGTGATTCCAATGACTTTTTGTTTTGTTTTTGTGGTGAACAGGTTGGCTATATCCAGATTGGATCAGAACAGGTGCAGATACAACCAGTGAACACTTCCGAGACCTCGTTTGATGGGAAAGAGCACTTCATCAGGCACAAACGAGCCACCAGATCGGCACATCCCGGCAAGCCGGAGATCCCAGTTGAGCCCTGCAGAGTTGTGGCAGGTGGGTTATTGGAAGTCGGTGTGTGAATGAGTGGCCTCCTTGGAGCAGTGGTGGTTGCCGCAGCTAGAGTTGGCCTCGCACACCTGTTCGTTTGCTTGCTTGTATGTTTGCAGAGTTGGAAAAGGTTCAGAAAAAGGCGACCGAAAGGATCAATGGGATTGAGTGACTCCCCTATGAGGAATGGTTGCAGCCTTTTGGACTTCTTAGTTTTGAGAAAAGGAAAGTAGGCGGTAACTTGGTAGAAGTCTATAAAATAATGCATAGCATGGAGAAAGTAGGTAGAGGAAAGTTTTTCTCTTCCTCCACTAAAACTTGTAGACATCCAGGGAAGCTGAATATTTGAAGATTCAGGCCAGATAAAAGAAGGTACGTATTCACACAGTACACGGAACTCGCTCCCACGGAAGGCATTGATGGCCACCAACTTAGATGGCTTTAAATGAGGATTGGACAAGTTCATGGAGGATAAAGCAACCAGTGGCTCCTAAGCAGAATAGCTTTGCTCTGTGTCCGTGGTGAGAGGCAGTAACGCAGCCAAATTCCAGCTGTTAGAAACCAAGGAGTGCTGATCAAATCCTACTTACATTTACCAGCAATAAAAACAATTTCAAGTCCAGCACAGATACATAGTAATATAAACATCTCAATCTGAAAGGCTTGAAAAGTGCTGAAAATATACAGTGGTACCTCGGGTTAAGTACTTAATTCGTTCCGGAGGTCCGTTCTTAACCTGAAACTGTTCTTAACCTGAAGCAGCACTTTAGCTAATGGGGCCTCTTGCTGCCGCCGCACCGCTGCCACGCAATTTCTGTTCTCATCCTGAAGCAAAGTTCTTAACCCGAGGTACTATTTCTGGGTTAGCGGAGTCTGTAACCTGAAGCTGTTCATCCTTACTCATCCTGTGTAACCCTTTGGCCTGCCAAAGAACATGGATATACTCTTTTCATATCTATGTTCTGTGCAGGTTGAAGTGCTAGCAAGGTCCAGCTCACAAGGGCTTGAGAGGTAGCAGATGTCTTGAGCAATAGAAGCAAAGATCAGGGGAACCTTATAGAAGTATACCAGCATATCCAACATGAGGGAATGCAGCCATTGTTGTAGCTATAGAGTGGGCAGTGACATGACTAGCTTTCTAAGGTCATCTGATCTCCCAACTGATGACGAGGAGTGTTGTGGTCTGTAGCTTTTATATTCTGACATGAACTCCCCGCCCTGATGGGCATAGGGAACTAATATTTAACCAGTAGAGGCTGCTGGTTTGATCCTTGGAATTCCTTGCAATATATTCGAAAGCAAGTCATAGGATGCTGCCTATTGCCAGGCCACGTCTAGTACTGTCTACATTGACTAGCACCACCTCTCCAGAATGAGGTATTTCACCATCCTACCAGGAGAAGGGGGATGCGGGTGGCGCTGTTGGTTAAACCACAGAGCCTAGGACTTGCCGATCAGAAGGTCGGCGGGTCGAATCCCCGCAACAGGGTGAGCTCCCGTTGCTTGGTCCCAGCTCCTGCCAACCTAGCAGTTCGAAAGCACATCAAAGTGCAAGTAGATAAATAGATACCACTCCGGTGGGAAGGTAAACGACGTTTCCGTGCACTGCTCTGGTTTGCCAGAAGCAGCTTAGTCATGCTGGCCACATGACCTGGAAGCTATACGCCGGCTCCCTCGACCAGTAAAGCGAGATGAGCGCCGCAACCCCAGAGTCGGCCACGACTGGACCTAATGGTCAGGGGTCCCTTTACCTTTACCAGGAGAAGCTTGGGATTGAACCCAGAACCTTATGCATGCACAGTCTACATTTTTCATGCTCTACATCTGAGTTATGACCCCTCAGCCAAGTTCCATCTATTTCAGAGCCACCTCCTTCCTAGCAGCATCAGACTTCAGGGTACCTAGAGATGTCTTTCCTAGCACCTGTTACCTGAACATTTTTAGGTGGAGACCCCAGGCATTGAACCTGGGAGTTTCTGGATGCAAATAATGCCAATGAGTTCTGGCCTCTCCCCCGCTCCCCCAGTCCTGCTGATTTCAGTACAGCTTCCTTCTGAATATATAAATTAGGTTAGCCCCATCTGATTGGTGGGTGCAAGGCAGCCTCCCAAAACAATGCTAGAAATAGTTGTGCCCTTGATTCCTATTCTAGGTATGTGACACTTAATGGGAACTTAGAGAGTGAAGCGTGGCTGAACATTTGGAGCAAAACATCAGCAAAATTCTGAAGTAAGCAAAAATGCCAATAAGGCTAATTACATTTTCTGCACACCCCTTCTTGTAAGCAATGCAGATCAGGACCCTGATCAGTTCCAAGTGGGCTGTGCTGTGTTGGCTAAGCTATGAAAAACATTGTTTTAGCAGAAGACTTGATTCTTATGAAGACGGGTAGAGCCTTGACTTCCAGCGGCCTGCCTGCCTCCCTGGAAGGCCTGCATGGCTGTGGAGCAAAAGGAACTATAAGAGAGGGCACAGACTTTAAGCTTGTGACATCTGCTTTGTGTTTTACTGGAATCCCAAGATATACTGACTGCAGCAAGGTGTGAAAGGCATACAAGTTTTATAACATCATTCTATCTTAGCTGCTGTTGAGCGAGCAAGGGGTTGTGAGCAACAGAGCAGAGTTGTGCTCACAGGCCGCCACCCCAACCCCCCCAAATCCATTTCTGGTTACCCCTAAGTGCTATTATGCTATTATGCTTTTATACTTTTTGTTTTGTATAAAGCAACTGAAAAATGTAATAAATAAATAAAAATAATTGCCACCCAATTTCAGTCAAAGTGAAATTCCGAAGAGAAACTAAGAACTTCTTAGTTTCTCTTTGAAATTTCAAACAGTAGAGGCAGAAATGTTCGGATTTACAAAAATATTCTGGGCAGGAGTTCTCTACGCATCCCTAGTTAAGTGCAATAGTTACAGTATCTTCTAACTAAGTATTTTCCAGCTAGCCTAGTGAATCTTAAATTTCATGAATTGCCCTTAAGCCCTTTTCTTATTTGTGTGTGTCTGTGTGTGTTTTTTAAAAAAACCATGATTGCTTTTTCTCCCTTTTGCTTCAAGAAAGATGTGGTGTCATGGCTTCTAATAGGCTTAGTGTGTTAATGACCTAATTGACTCCTGTCTTGTTTGGATTAACGTTTTTGTGCCTAAGAGGGGAGAGGGTGGGGAAACCCTAATCTGCTGTGACACACAAAAGAGCCTATTCCTTATGACATGATTTGGGGACCAGGTGATCTTGGAGCACTTTTCCAAAGGTTCTTATGAGAATCAAAGGCCTCATTAGAATGGCACCCATCAGTGTGGACAGGAGCTGGCCAGGATTCCATAAGAGACCTTTGGTTCCAGAACATGGTATTTAGGCTGTCACATCTAGGCACAAACTTAAGTTATTCAGAGCAGAAGCTGAAAAATATATATAAGGGCATGCTTTTCATGCCATGAAAATTAATGTGTATATTTGTATGAGGAGGAACCTGGAAAAAAATCTCAAGTATTTTAGGGTAGGCTGTTGAAAGAGCTTTGATGACCAGCAAAATTTATCTTGGTCTTGTATCTACTTCCTTGTGATGATAATATTTACAATGTTGTGATTACAATGTTTACAAGATAAGCATGTGTGACTAATGGAGTGGTGTGTGCATTGTGATGTTATATTTTGAAATGTATTACTAGATGCGAAGACATAAAATACAGGCGATAAAAAAGGGGGAGGAAGCTTTGCAAAGAAATATGTATATTGAACCCAATGCATTTCAAATATCTTCTTCATAACTAGGCATAAACAGCTTGAGTCTTATTTTTCCAGCTCTGGCGGAATTGTAGTTTATGGAGTTGAGAATTTGATGTACAAACCATAGTTCTGTGTGCATTTATATTGCTGGAAACGAACGGTCATTTGCTTGCAATTCTTTTGTGGATAATGGAAGTGACCAAAATGTGGCAATCTTGAAAATGGATTCTATCACTTTGCAGAAAAATCTGGTTGGGGACTATTAAATGTTAAAAATAGCTCTGGCATAAACTGATTGATTTATGTTAAAAAAGACTCTAATTTGTGGGTTCTGAAACAGCTATACAAGTTATGTTACATTTATGGGAGAAAAGAATATCTCAGGTATTTACTGGGGCCAAAGATGACATTCTTGTTTAAGTAAGTGTAGATATCAGACACTAAAAGAAAGGCATGCCTTCTTAAATTAGCTATAAATGTGGTGTTTTCTCTAGGAAATTTGACGTGCCTTTCTTAAGGTCTGTTCCAAAGGTCTCAGGTGGTGATTTAAAGTCCCATTACCTAGAAAGGACTTCTTATAAAATGTGGCTCAAGAGTGTGAAACAAGGCAGATCATCTTCTGAGGAAAAGTGATAATTTAATGCTCATGACACCAAGCTCATAAATTACTCTTAAATGTGCAACTGCCTAAAATTTGGCTCAACTGAAACACATTCTTCATTTAAAGCCTCGAGTCATACTCCAAGGAGAGGTAGGAATTTATTACAACAGAGTAAACTATTTTTAAGAAGTGGGCTAACTTTATTTTTAACACACTTCTTTCTGCACAAGCAAATATAAATGCAAACAATGCATGTGTCTGAGCTAGGATCTTTTTTTCCTTGGGAACCTTGTAATTTTTTGAGAACCTGTAATATCTGCGAGAAGATTGGTAGTAGTGAAATAATTTTTCATTACAGCTCTTCTCCTGTAGTGCACAGTGTATGTGAGTTTGATATGTTCTAGATTGATCATGTTCTTCAAGGCTGGCCCATTAGGACCAACAAGGCCCTGCTCCACCAACCTCAGCCTGCCATTAGCCAGCCCCACCTATTGCCTTCTTAAAGATAAAGGGACCCCTGACCATTAGGTCCAGTTGTGGCCGACTCTGGGGTTGCTGCGCTCATCTCTCTTTATTGGCCGAGGGAGCTGGCGTACAGCTTCCGGGTCATGTGGCCAGCATGACTAAGCCGCTTCTGGCAAACCAGAGCAGCGCACGGAAACGCCGTTTACCTT